GAAGGTACATTTTTACTCCTGTGAACCTGCCTGTTTGCTGAAGTTCCTCAAATATTAAATGGGTCTTTTTTCTGTTGCCAGTGGAACACTCTGCCCAACGAAGAGTCTCCGATCATCTCTACTGAATTTGAGTTTATGTTTGTTGAGGCACTCATTGGACGCCACCCAGAGTAGCAGACTGGGCACTAGATGGGTGGTGTAAAAAGTGAATTAAAGAAATAACTAAACAAATCTCAGTAAAGAAGGAATGAACAGAAGGGCATTTCATTCTATGGATCAGGATTGCAAGAATCACTCCTATACACAAGGCACTGGCTTCTGGGTGAATTTTAAAGCATACACTTTCATCTAGAAAGCTCTAAAGGCCCTGAAATCCTATTTGAAGGTACATTTTTACTCCTGTGAACCTGCCTGTTTGCTGAAGTTCCTCAAAGATTAAATGGGTCTTTTTTCTGTTGCCAGTGGAACACTCTGCCCAACGAAGAGTCTCCGATCATCTTCTATGTTGTTGTCTCTAGATCAGACATCGCAACTCTCCTGGGATGGAATGAGGAGCCACACCAGCCTCTACAACGAGGAACACATCTTTCCCCTGTTGCCAATAAACCTGGTGCTGGTACTGCTGTCACTGCTGAAATTTGTGGCACTGGGGGAAAATGGCTAGGGAGGACCTACGGAGCCCATGAGTCACACGGCGCAGGGTGTTAGTCAACTCTGTAGAATTGTTAATGAGGAACATGAGACAGAGGGTGCTGTTGCACTCATCTCCTGCTAGAGCAGTGGTCCTCAACCTTGGGACTCCAGATGTTCTTGGACTACAACTCCCAGAAGCCTTCACCATCACCTCTGCTGGCCAGGATTTCTGGGAGTTGAAGTCCAAGAACATCTGGGGGCCCGAGGTTGGGGACCCCTGTGCTAGAGGACTCTCATCAGTAACTGATTAGCTGCTGTGTGAACCTTGCACTCATCTCCTGCTAGAGGACTCCCATCAGTAACTGATTAGCTGCTGTGTGAACAGAATGTTAAGACTAGATAGGGTTTTGACCTCATCCAGTCTGGCTGTTCATGTTCTTATGAGTAAGGTTAAAAACATTGCATTTATGAACATCTTTGCTCGTTGTATCTGCATGTGTGGGAATAATTACTGAGAGCTCGTCTCATGCAAATGACGGTGGGAGGTCATCTTGTGTTGTGATTACTTGATATGTGATCAATTTGATTTCAGTATCAGTTTTCTACTAAACTCTATTGATCCTATCTATCTATCAAGTTATATTCATTCTGTACCAGAGATTTTGTACACTGATGAAAATGGGAAAGGAAGAAAATCCATCGGTTTACAAAATGCTAATAGAGTGATACAATTTTCTGCTAAAGGCTGGATATAAGAACATTAAAATAAATAGGATGCACAAAAAATATCGAAGGTGATAAAGTTAAATCCTTAAAAAGTTACAGCGCTGAAGAAAAAGAAACAGCTGTACAAGGGATGGAGATGGGGATTTGTGTATTTTTGGTCTGTGTCAGATTTACATGTGTTAACTTGTAAGTCTGTTCAGTCTTGTTTCTGCATTTATCTTCAGGGGACTTTTTATAGCAACAAAATGTATATTTAAATATGTTTTTTTTTCAAGGCATTTGGTCACAAAATACACATTTCAAAATACATTTTAACATAACACGCACATTTTAAAAAGCTTTTCAGCACTTTTGATGTTATTTGGAGCCAAATTCTGCATGGTGTTTTATTTAATGTGGGTGTGGATTAGGTCAATTTATATACAAGAATTCATGAAGATGGATCTACTCAAGGAACACAAATTCATCCTCTTAGTTTAGCTGGACTTCGCAGCTGAGAGCAAAATGCCATTGCTGGATGCAGCCCATTACAAAAAACAAAACAAAGCCTACCTCAAAAAAAATGATAAGAGAAGAATAATTCATCTAAAAGAGAAAAGACCCAGATGCACCTCCCCAGTAGCAAAAGTTCTAGGTCCTATTCTACAGATCAATGAAATGAAGCTCAAATAATTGGAAAGGGGCACAGAGCTCCTCGAGCAGATCTCAGTGGAAGAGCAGAATCTATGATAAATTAGCAGAACCTCCCAATGATCAATCCTAATGAAGAAGCAATCAAGAAACTGGAAGAAGGCTGAAACTACAAAGGGAAACAAAAAAGGAACCAGAAAAAATAATCAAGTATTAAAGATGCATCACGGGAGACCAAGACCATCCACACTCTTGTATCTCCAGTCACCATGTATGGGTGTGGGAACTGGACAGTTCAGAAAGCTGACAGGAAAAAACATTTATTTGTTTGAAATGTGGTGCTGGGGGAGATCTTTGTGGGTACTGCCTGAAATCAAGTCAGAAATACCACTACAGGCCAAAAAAATGTTGAAATTGAGGCCGTTCTACTTTGAGCACATAATGAGAAGGCAGGATTTTCTGGAAAAGATAATAATGTTGGGAAAGGTAGAAGGCAGCAGGGAACAAGGAAGAACAAATATTAGGTGGGATGACTCCTTAAAGGAAGCCACGGGCTTGAACCTGCAGGAGCAGAGCAGGCCCGTTGAGGACAGGACATTTTAGAGATTGCTTATTCATAGGGTCGTCATGAGTTGGAAGTGACTTGATGGCACATAAGAACAATAACAACTGTACTGTTTCAGGCAGGAGTCTTTTCAGTCTCACATGGAGATGCTGAGAACATGACCTGTGGCCTTAGAACTGCACTCAGAAATTAATAAGGAGCCAGGGCAGAATGTTTGTATTACAGAAGCAACATCATGTGAGCAAAGACAGGCCATGAAGGCCTTTCCTCTGCTCCACCTTAGAAGGTATTAGAAAAGAACACAGAACAAAATTTTTCTATGACTTTCAGCTCCAAGGAAGAAAGAACTGCTCAGCACCACTTCAAACTGCTGCACCCAATTTACTGCTCATGTACTTCTAAGGGTGACGTGGGTTAGGGTGCTTGAGATGAGGAAAACTGAAACCTCTCCAAGTTGATGTGTCTAAAAGAGTGGATTGCAATCCATGAACGCTCACATTGAAACAAATGAGTTAGTAGTGGGCACAATTGATTGTTGTTGCTGGAACAGACTAACATAACTACTTCTTTGGAAACTCACTCAACTAGGGAGACACAGAAACCCTCCTAACTGAGGGATCTAAATTGGATGAAAACTGGGCCACATTCTGACCAGATGTGGTAAACTAGCACAAGTAGCCAACTCCGATGACTAAATACTATTATTCCCTGCATGAAGTAAACCTGTATACTAGTAGGGATGTGACGACTATTCCAAAACCACAGACCTACACACTTCTAATTTGCAGTTTTTCTCTTCCTAACATTCCATGGCAAAAAAAAAAAAAAATCAACCACTTTGAGATTTTATGCTCCTGTATAGGAGTGAAAAAACAAGTGCATTTTTCACCAGCAGGACCATTAGCAAAACTTACTGTCTTTTGCACAAAAAGAAAATTGCATTTTGCATCAAAAACTTTGTGATTTGTGTTTTAAAATATATTAAGTTTTATGCAAAATACAAGTCCTTGAAAACAATTTTCTTCTTTTTTCCAAATACAGTGTTTTGTGCAAGCATCTCCCCCAACTTTGGCAAATTTTAACATAGAAGTCCTCAAAGCAAAATAATGCATAACAACTCACACAAAATTGCCCAACTGGGCTGGTTGGTCGGTGAGGGACTTATAAAACTTTTCACTCTCACCTGCAAGAATTAAGTCAGAGAAGATTTACATCTCTATATGACACACTGGATGTTCAGTTTTCCATGACAAAAGGGCTTTTTGTAGGAGGACATGAGAGGCTCCCACCGGAAATGGTAAAATCTACCTTAGCGAGAGCTAGGGCCTTCATGTCACAAGAGCTAGAAGGGCAATGCACATCAACTCCCAGCTTGCCACAATGCCATCAATCCTAAAACAGTTGTTAAGAATCCACATGGTTCATTAAACTTCCCCTTGCTAAAATCCAACTGACCTGACATACCTATATAATTTAGTTTTTATTATATTGAGCTGGATCCAAGCTACGTCTGCTGATTTAACCTCTAATCCAGCAATCTTCAAGTAGGTACAAGGAACATACCAGAAGGGGATATGGTTTAGCTACACTCCATTCCCCACCTCCCATGTCACAGCTTCCACTTCTCTCCTTGCATGAAGAGTCATGATTTAATAGGAGAGCTTCCTCCAGGCAGATCAGGAGCCCTATTGCAACGGAGGAGTCAGGGCTAGTACACATCCTCACCTCGTGCATTCAGTTTACCTATGTTTCAAATGCCTGAATAGGGTTTTATTCCCTACAAATATCCCTTTGAGCTATGACTACCTTATCCCATTGAACTGAATGGGTCATAACTTGCATCCTCACCTCATGCATTCAGTTTATCTATGTTTAAAATGCCTGAATAGGGTTTTATCCCCTACAAATATCCCTTTGACTTAGACTGAGCTATGACTACCCTATCCCATTGAACTGAATGGGTCATAACTTCAGCCAATACAGCACGGACCCAATGTCCATCTTGAGAATGTTAAAAACCATGAAAATGCATTACCGGCACAATGTTTATTGGGACTACTTGTTTAAATACATCTGAATGCACTGTGAATGTACACCACTAAAACAGGGATATTTAAAGCCCCGAAACCTTTATGTCTTTTCATTGCCTTTCATTGCCATAGGCACAGGTGTTCCAATGCTATGGGATATTTCCTGTAACATTTTTTTTCATACATCTCAGATATACTACTGCATACATCTTAGATATACTGAGACTCTCTGCTAAGCAACATTCCCACATAAAGCATTAAAAATAATAATAATAAAATTAAATTAAAAGTGCCAGCAGATATTGAACAGCTTGTATTCCCAAGGAACAGAGGGTGAGATGGGATGAAAGCTTGAGGAGAAAATGAAAGCTGCTAATCTGTTTTCCAAGTGAAACATTTGAGGTGATTGCTCTAACCTGGGGCACAGTACATTTTCTCTATGGCATCGCTGTCACAGGAATCTTCAACCTCACTCCACCTGCTAAAATACGTTAGCTGAATGTGTCCTAAAAACAAAACGACAGGAGAAATCAAAACATTTTCCCCTTCCATTTTCTGCAGAAGTGAACTGTAATTACTCCTTTTGTAGCTAAAAACAGTATCATTAAGAATAATGGCATCATTAAGTACTAGAAGCTATTACTGGGGGTGAATTTGCTGCACTGATAATGAAGCTCTAGACAGGAAATGAAGATACTAATTACAAGATAAAACGCCTACTCAGTTAATTGGAAGCAACAGCGAATAAAAAGAAATGCATTTGCAGAAGTTCCTGACCTCGATCATTCAATAAGATGTTGTTTGGGTTCAAATCACGGCACACAATTCCTTCTCGATGCAAGGAATCCAGGGCTACCACCATTTCAGCTGCCCATTTTTGAACACAGCCCTCAGGGAGGTAAAACCTGGAGGTTAGCGCTAATCTCTCGTCAAGGTCCTGAAACATTTGGTGGATTTCATTCTCTCCTCTGACCCCCACATCTGATTCATTGTTTCCTGCTTTGTGCAATAAAGCCGGGATTGTTCCTTCTTTGCCAGAATCTTCAGCATGGTCAGAAAAGAGCAGCACAGCTTCATTGTCCACATCTAAACTATGTCCTTTAACACCAGGTTGCGTGTTAGATGTCAACTTTTCTTCCCTGCCAAATGCATCTAATGACGAAAACGCTGCTCCTCCAAACCCTTGGAACCCCATCCTATCCTTGCAACCCGTTGGGTCACTAGTCGTCATGTGGACTGCCCTAGTCCTTTCCCAGCTATCAGTGTGCTGCTCCTTTGGTTCTTTTCCACCTAAGGGGTGTCCCTTTTGCTCAAGCGTTCGGCATGGCTCTGCACTGTTATTCAACTGCAAGACATCCGGCGTTTCCAAAAGTTTGCTTTCCACAATGTCTCCGTGTGGCTCTGTCTGCTTTAGGGGCCTATCCACAGTAGGTTCTTTCACTGGCTCGGTTATGCCTGGAAGGTTCACCAAAAGGTCAGGCCTTCCATCATCAACGCTACTGACATCATCGAAGGCGACATCCTTAAAAGAGATCACTGGCACGGAATCGTTTGAGCCCCTGCTGATGGTATCCTGGGAAGCAGGGGTTATTTTGTTTTCTATGGCATCAAGCTCCTTATCCTGATCTGGCACAGACAAAAACTGCTTTAAAGATTCTGATTTTAAGCTGTAAAGTTTATCTCCAAAATCAAGCCCTTGAAGTTCACTGGTACTGTCTCTACTGTCAATTCTGAATAATTCCATGGGGCTTTTCTTAGATTTGCTGAGTGATTCTGATATCCTGGTAGGACTTGTTATTTCTGAATCAACATCATCAGCAAAAATATTTACTTCCTGAGAGGTGAACGCAGATTCCAAATTCCCACTGGCAACCATACTATGTCCCTGGAAACCTCCTTGGTCTTTGGTAAGGACAATGCCATTATCTGCTTTCAAGACAGGTTCTTCATTTAATGAACCAGGATCAACTTTTTCTTGACCATATTCATTGCATAATGTTAGATAACTTGTAGTGCATTCTTCCTCTGAACTGGTTCCAGAATCAATCCACCTAGGGGAACTTTCTTGACCATCTTCCTGGTTACTACTGCCATCTTGAGAACTTGGAGTAAGACTGCTCTGCAAGGGCAAAACCTTCAACATGTTGCCACTGTTGCTTCCTTTAGAGTCAATGCTACCACCAGCATCTTGAGGACTAGGAGTGGCCTGATGCAAATGTATTTTGGTAGAGCTTGGTCTTCGGGATTTTGGTGCTTCAAAGCTATCTTCAGGACTCCTGTTCAAGAACTTACTGATGTACGACCAAAGTTTGCCTCCTGCAACAGAGAAAAGAAAGTAACCAGGATTAGTTGTACTTCATATAATGCCTAACTATGATGAGAGAGAAAGGAGTGAATTTGCAAGTGAGGGCTATTACAGAAAGGGAAGTCAGTATCCCAGTTTTCTTCCAAACCTTTGATCCTACTTAATGATGAACTAGCACGATATCATCATGAGCCTTATGTTTCTCCATTTCCTGTTTCCAATACTGCACATTAAGAAGTTTATTGTTGTGTTAGTTTAGGCCTATCAAGTGCTTTGCTTTAAATAAACATAAATTAACTTTACGTTGAGCAAAAAATAATAATTTAGGAAGCCTATTTATAACAAATTGATAGTAGTGAAAAATAAAAGGACCATTTGATCTTACAAAAGCAGTTACATGTATTTTTGAAAAGATTTTAAAAGTCCTATTTTATGCAGAGGTTAGTAATAAATCTATTCAGTTCACATTTTAATGGAAAGTTACCAGATTTGTAGTTTTTAATTCTACAGATGTACTAAAACACATATTACAATGATAACTGCACTTTTTCAGATGTTGTAATGAGAATCTGCAAATGTACTCCGAACTTTGTGTAATGGCAAAGTGAGCACAGAGGTTCATATTAGGCACTGGCAATAAGCTATCAGAAATTCAAAACTCAAAATACGAAGTGTGGTACTAGCTCCCACACTTTGTAATGGCCTCTTGCTAGAGATCTGATAAGCCTCCTCCCTCCAGAGTACTAAAAGGGAGCTGAAAACCACACTTTTTAGAGAAGCCTAAAAGATATTTAAGGGTATTGTCCCCCTCAGTTAGTGAATCCTTTGACCTTGGGCCACCTGAGGACTGTTGCCATCATTCTGTTTGATTTCGTGAAGTAACAAGAAGCTAAGCAAAATCAGCCTTGAGAGGCTTATTCTATTTGTTTGTGATTTTATTGTAATGTAATGGCCAGAGTAGTGATCCCACTGAGTCAGGTGGGATACAAATAAATAAAACAGAAATAAAAATGTGTACACAGAAATTTTGGGGTCCAACTAAAAAGCTCTAATATGAAAACAGGACAGAATGAACAGAATGCTAAAAAAAAAACACAAGAAGCTAAGCAGAATCAGCCTTGACAGATTTGTCTCTCCTTGCTCTTAAAATTTTGTAAGGATTGGGATGGACAGGTTTTGTAAAAATGGCAAAAGAAGAAAGGGGATGTTAACACACTGTGCACTGGGCGTGAGCAAAGTAAAGTGGACTGGAATACGACATTCTCAACCAGATAAGTACAACCTGTTTTATTCTGGAAATGGCAAGTGCACATTAAATGGTATTGCTCTAATAACTTGGTAACACATAATGCAAAGTGTGGGGAGCTATAATACAAAGTCTCACCAAATAATATCAATCAGACTTCACAGAGAGCCTATCAACATAATCACAATTCTAGTTTACCTTCCAACTACAGATGATAAAAAAGAAGTCAAAAGCTTTTTATTGAAGTGAGTTACTTGGAAGTCACTTAAACAGGCTATGAACTGGAGTTGGCAGAACCAAAGTGAACCGAAGAAAATGGGGTTTTCTCATCGACCCAGTCCTTTGAGAGTGTGGGGAAGAAGAGACAACCTCACACCTATGTCTGTACATATAAGTGGTGCCTCGCATAGCGATCGCTCCGTTGAGCGACGAAATCGCTTATTTATTTATTTATTTATTTATTTATTTATTTATTTAACTTATATGCCACTATCCGAAGGTCTCTGGGCGGCTTACAGCATTTAAAATACAATAAAAAGGCAAAATAAAAGGGCAAAATAATTAAAATGCAATTAAAATATATATTCTAAAAATTGCCATCAGACCTACAGCTGATATTATTTCAGTTAAAAGCCATTTGGAACAGGAAGGTTTTGACCTGGCGCTGAAACGTCATCAGCCTCGGCGCCAGACGAGTCTCAGTCGGGAGGGCATTCCATAGTCTGGGGGCAGCTGCCGAAAAGGCCCTTTCTCTACAAGCCCTCCCTCTTAGCGACTAACTTTTTGCGATCGCAAAAGCGATCGCTTTGCGATGGTCCCTAGGGGTTTTTTTCGCTTTGCGATGATGGCAGGGAAGCAATCATAGTAAAGCAACCCTTTTTAAACAGCTGATCGGCGGTTTCAAAATGGCCGCCGGGAAAACAAAATGGCCACCCGCTGTTTTTCCTCGCTTTAGAGGCACCAAAAATGGCCGCCCCTTTGGATGATTTTTGCTTAAAGGTGAGTTTTTAAGCGCATAGGAACGCATTAATCGCGTTTTAATGTGTTTCTATGGGCTTTTTAACATCGCTTAGCGATGAAATCGCTTAGCAACGTTTTTCTGGAACGGATTAACGTCGCTAAGCGAGGCACCACTGTGCTCTATGCCCCTCGACTTCATGCTAGCTGCCACAAATGCTCTTGATGTTGATCATTATTGAATAAAAATTATGTGATATATTTATTAATTGTACTGTGGTGCTTCTAATACAAAGAAAGAAAGATCCACCCTGTGCCATTCTCAATTACTATACAGTATAGGGATGGGAAGGTTGTACATCAAAGCAACCTGACAGGAAAAAAGTGACTTGTTTGAAATATGGCTTCAGAGGAGAGCTTTATGGATACCATGAACTGCCAGGAAGAAAATCTAATGGTCTCTTGATCAAATCACACCTGCATTCTCAATGCAAGCTAAAATAACTAAGTTGAACGTACCATGTGTTAAACTATCATACTTTGAGCATACTGTGAAAGTGCAACTCACAGGGAAAGACAACAGTGCTAAAAAAAGGAAGGAGGAAAAGAGGAATTTCTGGCATGAGATGGATTGACTCAATAAAGCAAACTGCAGTGTTGGGTATGCAAGATCTGAGCAGGGCTGTTAATGATAGCCCCTTTCGTAGGTTATAGACTAATAGGGTCACCATAATTCGGAAATAACCTAAGAGCCCATAGCAACAAACTTTTCATGTTTAATTTCTGAGGAATTTGAAAAAGTTCTTTTTGACTTCACTTCTAAGGGACGCTGGTAGTTATCATCCAGCAAAGTAACTATTCTAAGCTCTGAAATGGACAAGTGAACCACCTTGTCCCCATGTTGCTCTTTGCTCCTTTCAACTCAGCTCTTCCATACAGATCCTGGAATTGCTATAATCTAATTTTCTTTAGAAACACAGGAAGGTTTCTTATATCAGATCACACTACATCATCCATCCAGCTGGAATGGCCTAATCTTATTGTTGATGGCTGTCCAGCATCTCAGGAAGAGGCTTTCTCATCATCTGCTACCTCATCCTTTTAAATGGAGATACCAGGGATTGAACAAGGATACTTCTGCACGTATGTAAAGCAATGACTCCACCAATGAGTTATGATGCCTCCTCCAGTACTCATACCTGACAGGAACAAGGCTCGTGTGTGTCCATTTGCTTCTGTCCAGTTATTTTTTACTCTTGCCTCTTAACACCCACCCGTTTCCTTTGATGGTGTCATCCCACCATTAAAATGAGTAGGGATTGTGTATTGTTGGGTTATTCTACCAGAGCATTTCCAAAGGTATAAAGTTTTTCGAAAAACTCTACACAATCACTTTTACAATAGTGAAAAGAAAGGAAATCCAATCTTCTCATTTGGTGTAATACACTGGTGCAAACAATGAAATATTGTGAATTATACCCTTACATGTAATATACCCTTATGTTGTTCTTTGAGGGTATAATAGAATGGCATTAAAGCTGAAATATGTAAAGACATGCTTTTTTAAAGAGTTGTGCATATTAAGAGAAGGAGAATAAACAACTCTATTCCCTTTTCCTCTCCTTTCCTTCCTTTTGAAATGCCCGATTTAGGTCACACAAGAGCAGTATTTCCATCTGGGTATATAATTATGTCTTTGCGAATGACACGTTAATAATCTTTTCCATCTTGCACCGCGATAGATAAGATCAAGTAAATGCATTAGCCAAAGCTAATAGAGTATTGGCCACCCATTACTATATAAAATTATTGGAGGGGGGGATGATTCAGTGCAAAGGAGTTTTCATAAGTTTGTAGCCTTGTCTCCTATTGGCCAAGTGTTAAAGCAGTGATGGAATGCTTCAACATGAATTACAATGACAATGGACTGCTTTATAAGGTTCGTATCAAGAGCCTCCAGATGTTAACTGGAACACAATTCTCTTCAGCCCTAGAAAATATGGCCAGTGATTAGAATTATGGGAGTTGTAATCCACCAAGATATGGAGGGTCACAGATTTCCCACTACTCTGCTCACCATTCTGCACCAGGATTTACTGAAAACCGCATTTACTGAACACATTTGAAGTAAAGGTTTTAGCTAGTATTATCCTGCTGCCTCAAGGGTCAAACCAGATACTCAAGATCTTAAAATTGAAGAAATATATGACCTGATCAGGACAGCAGGGATAAAACTTTTTCTCTCTGTATTATTTTTTATCATTTGGATTTGTGATTGTATTTATTTTATTTTATTTTAATCCCATTGTTGTGGCCTAGTGGGGACCAAAAGCAAAATACAAAAACAATTAAATTCCACACTTAAAACCATACCAATTAAAGTTTAAAACTCCACTATACAACTATTTTAAAACATTATTTAAAACTATAAATTAGCTCTTAAAAGACCTCCCCAACTCACTAAAAGGGTAAGATTTCAGGAGGGAAGGGGTCAGCTGCACCTCTCGAGAGAAGGAGTTCCATAATCTGGGAGCAATCACAGAAAAAGCTCTCTCTTGAGTCCTCTTCCAGACATGCTCTTGAAAGTGGTAGAACCAAGAGAAGGCCGTACCCTGTGGATCTTAATGCTTGTGGGGGCTCGTACAGGGAGATACAGCCTTTCAGATAGCTTGGACCTGAGGGTGTAGTTGCCATTGGTCTGTAGGAAGAAATAACTAGATCGCTCATGTGGCATCCATTTCAGGGCAGAAGATAGTTTGGGCAGAAGGACTGGAAACATAAAAAATGCCATAGGTAAAAATGAGTTGT